CACTGGTATCATTGTGGCACATTACACTGTCATATATGTTTTACTGTATGCTGCTTCTAGATTTGCTCTGTGAAGATGTTTTGTGAATGGGTTTGAAGAGTGAAATTGAAATTGATAGAGTAGTAATTGAACTGTGCCACTGAATGTACTTATCCTGTGCTCACAGTTTTAAAGATTGTGCAGATGAAAGTTTTTACAGCAATCCCTATTCTTGGTGAAACATTTGCTTTTTAATCTCTTTGCCTTTTACATTTAAAACCTGATCATGGGTTTTGTTGTATTCTTGTTCTCTTGTAACCAAGTAACAGCAACAGAAAATCATGTAGCCTTTCAGTCCGTTATGCAATGTTTTCAATCTTGGAAAACAGCCCAGAAGTTGAGGTTTTTTCCTTCTTTGCTTTTTTTTGTTCTAGTGACTGTAAGAGGCTGCTTGTCTCACCATATTTTATTGTCCTACTAATGTGGAAAAATCAGAAAAATTTAAAGTTAGAAGTGAAACTTCCATACAGAGTCTGACATTTCCCTTTTTTCCAGAAAGGCAAGTGTTAATTTAATTGTCTCGTTGTTCTGTGTGGGTGGGGTGGGGTAAATGGTTATTTACCATACATGGCAGTTTGTGGTGCTGAGTATCTCTGGCTGGTAAGATACACTGTAGTACACACAGGAAGAGCAGGAAATTGGCAGCAGATGGATGTTTTTGTTGCAATGGCTGACTAACTCTGAGACCAGGAACCATTAGCTAATTGTTTTAATTTAAAAACATTGCTTTCTCTTGCCACCTCCCAAGGGATGTTTTATTTATTTGAAGGGAATGTCAAATGATGAATTAATGATGAGAATTGAGAATTTTTTTTTCTTTATTCCTCCACACAGTGTAAATTTTAGTTTTTGCAATCCGGCTGGTTGTTAATTACAGTACAGGCAGAAAAGTGCATGCTCCTGATCCTGTTTTACTGAAAAAGCAAATCAAAAGTAATACTCCAAAAGCTGGAATAATTTCTCTGAAACAGTATAATCCTTTGTAATACATAATAATGTTTTTAAAAGATTAAAATGTTTGAATTTTTTAATTGTAGCTTGCCATAATGGGAACATATACAGTGATTGTCAGCTTGCTGATGTTATTAAAACCAGCTTAAGGCTCCACTGGTTTATTGCCTCTGAGTATTTACATAAAGTGATTCATACTGTGAGTGGACCAAGGTCTGCCTAAGGCGTAGTGTAGCCTGTCCTTGAATAAACCTTTAAAAAATGTCTGTGTTGTTGCCGAATTTGTTGCCCTGAAATTTAAAAACTTTCTTTAACAGGAAGACAGATTGTACACAGAATAAAAAGCACAAAGCAGCACTAGGCTTAAACATGGATAGTTTCTGCAGCAAAAAAAAGTTTTGAAGTTTTGTTGTCAAAAAATGAAATGTATTTTCAGTATGTTAGTTTCTGATTGCCTTTTGTAGTTGATTTGTCATTTCATTTTCTCTCATTCCTGGTAAGGATAGGGCCACCCCAGACCCTATCCAGGTAGCCTAGGGTGAAAGGAGGGACTGCGGGCTGGATGTCTATCACAGGGCCTTATGTCTATCACAGGGCCTTATAGTTCATAGTTAGTTTCCTTTTCCTCACTGATGGGAAGGCAGACAAGCAGAAACAAGATATATCCCTTTCTAAACTTACAAATGCAACAAGTGGTTCTTATTTCAGTAATCTCGCAAAACCAACTTGTGTTGTCGTGGTGGAATGCCCCAAAAATCAGGACTTTGTTCATATCTTAGAAGCATAGTTTCTGTGTTGCACTGTACAGCAACATATGATAAGTATAATTTCTATATTTTCTTCATATATTTCATATTTTGTTCAGATTTAGTGATTTCAGTTGTGTATTGTACAATACTTTTTCAACAAAACTATTTACTGCATTTTCAATGTAAATGAAAAACTAATGCTTTAAATAATGAATAGTGAATAGCTGTTTTTAGTGGCTTTTATTTGAAATATATCCATTCGTTATTAGGAAGCTGATTATTCCTAACAGAGGTACAGCAGCAGCAGCCTTTTCCTGGATGCCTTAGGCACGTGGTGGGACTACACCCTGGACATGAGTCCTGTTCATCCCAGTTCACACACACAGGCCAATCTAGGGACACGCAGGCTTGTTTTTGTTAGGTTGGTACTAGGAGGGAACTGGGGAACCTAGAGGAAAACTAAGCTAGGATGGGGACAGGGCAAACAAACTCCAGAGATATGAAGATGGAGACAGGTCCAGAATTGAACTTTGGACCCGTGACTGGGACTGGGACTTGTGATTTTAATCAGGTTTCTATAGTTTCTTTTAGAAGACAGATTTGTTCAGATATTCATGTAGAGAGTTTTGTTCTTTCTTTCAGCCCTGCTGTTTATTAGCATAAAAAAAAAACAGTGGCCTTGAGTATGATCATATTAATTAAAAACAATCTGTGTTGGACCAAACATTCGGTGCCATTTGTAATGCTTCTTTCCTTCTATTTGTATTTGTCTGTTTGTAATTTTACAGGTATGAATGCTGCTGTTCGTGCTGTGGTACGCATGGGAATATATGTTGGAGCCAAGGTGTATTTTATTCATGAGGTGAGTATACAGTGAAAACAAAATAAAAGAGACTTACAGTATGTTTAGTTAATATAGATTAAATGTATCTTGCTTAATCACAAATTAAACAGTTTCTCTTGGATTCTCTTGTATTTATACGGTATATAGTTCAGAATTTGATTAGCTTTGGTTCTATTTGAGCTATTCCAGTACTTATTTCTTTAGGTATTGTAGATTTCCAAATAGCAAAGTGTTTTAGAAAGGTTGTGAGTATACAAATACATACAGTACTGGTGCATTGAATTACATTTTATTCCTCAATAGCTATACAGTTGTTTGTACAGTTGTATAGTATAAAGTTTGCTATACTGCTAAAAAGTTAGTCTCATCTATTTTTCCACATTTTTTCATTAGATATTTTTAAAGCAATTTTAATTTTTCTTTTTGTGTGTTAATTTAACAGTTGTCTTAAAGGGGAACTGCAATGCTATTTTTATTTTTGTTTTGGGGTTAGAAAGAATCGGCTGAGTGCCAATGAGTGCATTGGTAAGTGCATTTCACACCACAGTTAAAGTAAAATGTCCACAGTAACATGTAAAACCTCCAATTTAAACAAAGAATAGACTACATTTCCAGGTATGCTCAGACAATATTCTGCGATTCAGAATGAAACATCCGGTGACTTGCAGTGACCCCACTATATTGTAAACAGGAAGGCTTGTGAATTATCCAATAGAAATATTGCTCTCTTCAAGAGTTGTTAACTCTGCATGCAGATCACATTGGAACATTTCTGCACAACCTGTAGTTATTTACTCATATATCGCATCACATTAGTGATTACAGTGACTAGTGAGCAGGAAGGGCTGCTTCACATTGCAATTTGCGCAGACTCACATTCTTGCCTATGGCGAGACCAATGGTTTCTGACAAAATGGAGACCATACAGCATTTTCACAAAATTCATGATGTTGTGCTTTATTTAGAATTTGTAAAAATGTCAATAAATGTATTTTGGTACCGATATTTAATAACCGGTCTGAGAAATTGGGACTGCAGTTCCCCCTTAATTTTACTTGGATAGAGCTTGATTGGAAATGTAAAGATACTTTTTCACCCATCAGTAATCCCCAGTGTTGGGGTGAATGCAGTGACTAGTCAGCACAAGGCAATGTCATATTGTCTGACTGTTGTATTTCTGTCTTTAGGGTTACCAGGGGATGGTAGATGGGGGAGATAACATTGAGGAGGCAAGCTGGGAGAGTGTCTCAAGTATGCTGCAGGTGGTAAGTAGAAAAATAAATAAACCTGTCTCATCTTAAACATTACATTCACAAATGAAATGCTGAAATAAAGTTAATCTTTTTTTTTCAGTGAGAGTTGCCTGCACTCACTTTTTTTCATTCTTAGTGTTGAGTCTTTTTGTCCATAAGACATTTGAGAAATGATCATAGATAATTCTTAGACAATTGTGTCTTCTGGAGATGTAGCTCAAATGTCTCATTTCTGTTTTCTGTGAATGGGAGCTTTAATGATGTTACAAGCACTGGGTGCAGATACAGATTTGTGTTGCTGCACACAGAAGACATAAATCAAATATAACAGATTTTATGTTATAAAGAAAAATATAAACAGCAGAAGTATCCAATGTGGACAGGAAACCCTGGGATTCATACTGTATACAGATCATATCCTAGACAGAGTCCTGCTGCTCAGGTGAGACATGGCCCTGTTAGTGACTGGGAATACTGATCATACAGTAACTTTCAGGGTTTGGGGCAATGCTGTCACTATGCATGTCTCTTTAAAGATTCTTTTCTCATCCTGTATGTATATTTCCTCCGTCCATATCTTTAGAACTTAGCACTATATCTACGGTGACCTCATCTTACACAGCACTGTGGGTTACGGCAGAAGTTTTCGTTATTATTTTAAGGAATGGCCTTGAGTTTTCTCTTTCCAGTGAAATTCCTGAAAATTAAGCTGTGATTACATCTGCACTCTAAATTTAGTTTAGTTTATATGAAAAAACAATCTAGTTTTCTGACAGAGCCTTTCAGATTATTTGTTATTTTATAATAAAGCTGGCGGAAGTGGCAGGGTGGGTTTTGATTCTGGCTTGGGTGTCTGTCCATTTAAATTCACAGGTTCTCCTCATGTTTGCATGGGCTTTCTGCAGGTGTTGTCATTTTCCCTCATTCGAAAAGAAATGCTGATTAGGTGTCTAGAAATTGTTATTCACTTTGTGAGGCTGCAATGGACAGATGTCCTGTCCAGAGGGAGAGCAGTTGTGTGCTCTCAGTTCCGCCTCACTTCCCTTGGTGCTGGAATAGGATCTGGTTTGTCCTGATGCTCACAAGGATAAGTGGTGATAGGTGGATGATAAAAAAGTCTAAATCAGTATATTGGATCACTCATATTGGGTATTGGACACCTGAGCTTCCTGTTTGCTGCTCTGAAACATAACTCCTCTTATATGAAGGGCAGTTTTATCTTCTTCTTTAAAAAATTTAAAAACAAAAAACGAGTAGGCGGCACAGTGCTTCAGTTGTTAACATTGCTACCTCACTGTGTTGGCGCTTGGGTTCTGTTCCGGAGGGTACTGTCTGTGTAGAGTTTGTACTGTACGTTCTCCTCAGTTTCATGATAGTATTTCCTGGGTGGTCTGAGACTTTAGAATTGCCTGGGTGTGAGTGTGTGCATGTCTGTGTCTGCCTGCTCTGTCTACAGACACAGTCTGTATACTGTGATGGACCGGTGTTCTGCCCATGGCGTATCCCAACTTGTTCCCTGCTGCTTGCCGGGATAAGCTCTGGCTTGCCTGTAACCCTGAATTGAATGAAGCAGTTAGAAGATTCATGGATAGCTAGATAAGAACTTGGAAAAACTTAGCATTTATGTCAAATAAAAATTAGATTAGCACCTTTTGAAATCATAGTTTCTGTAGCTTATACGTAAGGCGCTGATAGGAGTAGTTGCTGTATACTGTATGTATTCTGCAGGTCCAGAAGCTGCAGTTCTAAGGAACTATGATGACTCATTGCTTAACCAGGGAGAACTGAGACTTTTTGTTTGTTCATGCTAAAATATTATACCTACAGTATGTCTGGTTGAAATTTGAACTGGAAATAGAAGAAGGATAGAAAAGTAGAATAGAAAAACTAAATAAGAGCAGCGTGAATAATCAAATATTTGAACACAAATATGAAAACAATAAATTAAATGACAGCTGCACTTTTTACTAGATGGTGTTCTGTAATATTAACTCTGCAGTAGTGGTTTGGCAGTCTTATCTGTTGATGGTCTGTATCTAAGTATCAAGTGGTAGCTCACTGCATTTGAATCTTTGTACTACAGTGTATGTACAAATAACAATTCACTTAGAATTAACATGCCTGCACATGCTATGCCTGCTTTTAACAGTACAAAACGTTTTTTTCATAGGATGCATAATGGTGGCTTCATACATTTGAGCACTTTTTTAAATTAATAATAAGTAATTAGAATTTGTTGCTGAGCAGCTCATGTTCCTGTACATAAAGGTTAATTAGCAGTGTCATTGTCATGTAACTTGAATCCTTATCTCTGGCAGTTTATGAAACTTGAAAAAACTCTAACATTTGAATCATTTTGAGACGATTCTACTTATTTTGTGTGTGGGTTTGCACTTTTATTATCCCTACCTTATGCTTTGTGCACAAGCCCAATACAGTCACGTTTTTAATTTGTATTTCTCATGTAACTATAAATCCATCCATCCATTTTCCAAGTGCTTATTCCAATTTAGGGTTGCGAGGCAGCTGGAGACTATCCCGGCAAGGAACAAGTGTAAAGCAGGATACACCCAGGACGGGGATGCCAGTCCATCACAGGGCAGACACACACAGACATAGACAACA